ACACACACACACACACACACACACACACACACACACACACACACACAAACACACAATGTCTCTCTAGCTTTGAGTGTATATGTAAGACAAAGCAAATAATACTTTACATATCACTGTTGAAATTAAATGTCTTTCCAAAGAATAAACACTTACAACATAGTACCAACACTTATTATTTATTAAACAGTCAAATTAAACAGGCCTTTTGAGGAGTGATTAGATTTTTCTATTGTTTGCTTTTCCATTGCCCAGGGAAGACTAAAGCATGTCAGAAAAGAAAACACTCCTTTAGGTATATGAATATAAAGTGTTTTGTTACTGACTGCTGTCTAGCTCTCGTGGAAAGAACAAAAGCAATGTGCATAAATTGAAACAGAAGGAAGCAAAGTTAAATATTACAGAAGACTTTTTGGATGGAACACTGGATAAACTCTGAGATGGAGTATCGATTAATCATTGTCGTGCATCAGTCAGGGCTTGAACATCCTTTCTCAGAGCTGCTTTTGATTAACCCACATTCTTTCTTCCTTTTCCTATTCTGGTACCTCCAGGCATGGGAGTGTGTACATGTGGTCTAAATTTACTTTCCTCTATCCATTCTGTTCCCACCTGTTTGCCCTCAGTCCACAAGGGCGAGAACCTGTGAACCTAAATTACTCTAACCTGATCATGCACAGCAGGATGACTTGAAATATATGAGTGCTCAGCGCTTGCTCTCGAGAGCAACTATTTGCCTTGATATTATTAAAATATCTACAAGTGTGAGATAAGTGGGTGCTTTGGTCAAAAGTGTTCCTGGCATTAAGAGTTTTTGCTGTATATTAATAAAATAAGAAACTACCTACTTTACTTTCATAGAACAGCTAATCAGTGTTTTTAGTGACCACTGCCAGAAAGGTATTGTGCCTTCAACTATAGTACTTGGAATGACAATAATTCTTTGATAAAAGTAGAATAGTTCCCATCTCAGATCATCACATGACTCATTTATTTATAGGACCTGATTTCCTAATAGAATTCTGACAACTGCCCAATCTCCCTTAAGTGGCTCAACAGCAAAACATTTTGGTGTACTGATTGATCATACTTTGTAAAAATAATGAGAAAAACTAAATTATGCCAAAATAAAGAAAGAACATATGGTTAGCAAGGTCAAAGTACGTTAAAAGTAGAACTGTGGATTTTTCTTCTATACTTGTGTGATTTGTGTGTGGTGCCATGCATCACCAATATAAGTATATGTACTGTGAAAGAGCATTTCTGTTAAGAAGCTGTGTCTGCAAAGACTGATTAACTGATTAGAACTGCAGTGATGTGAAGAGAGTGCAAGGTTGCAGGTTAAGAGCCTAATTATCTCATGGTGTGCTACTTTTAGCCACCTAAATATCCATCCCTTGCTCACCTCTGTGTCAGAACTAACATCCTGTGACGAATAGATAAAAACTTTTTAGAATCTTTTAACTTAGCAGACCATGAGCTTCCAACAACTCCAAAGCTATACCATCTGATGCCTATAGGAGAGACTACCTTCTTGTTATATCGTGCTTACCAGATGTACCTATCAATGTATTTTAATATTGCATTGATGTGTGACTTTCTTTGTTCTGCTACTATAACACTTTATGAAACAGCTTCCATGTGGGAATATGGAACCTGAGATAACCTATTCAGCTCTGTGTTTCCTGGTCCATGGTTACTCAAATTTGGCTACACAATAAAGGTGTCTCATTCCCTTTGAATGGGGATCTGTGGTTTTTGCATCAACAGCGTCCTATCTAAATTACATGGGCATTTTACATTTGAAAGTAATTATATTGAACCACAGTCATGTTGCAGTTGTTACACTTGGTAGAGGAAAGGTAGTTCTTAATATGGGTTTGTCATTTTAATAAAGAACTAAACTTGCTGTAGATGGAGGACTAGAATTCCCACAAAACTAGCAACTTCTAATATACTCAAACCAGCACTCCTTTAGTTAAAAAGCAAAGAGACTAATCCTTTCTTTCAGACACTCTCATTTCTCTTTTTTTCCCACACATTAAGCAAAGAATAACAAGACCAACCTCAAATTCCATTGAAATGTATCCCTCAAGATACACAAAAGATAAAAATTGGTATTTGATACATTTAAAATAATCTTAATCTCATAATATTTATACAGTTTTGTACTGGATACCAAATTTCTTGTATTGTTCATACCAATAATAGTTTAATAAATAAAATATTACTTTAAATTAAATATTTAAAAACATTATTTGATTATAATCTGTTTAACAGGGGGTCTGTGACATTCTATTATGAATGGGAGAGGGACTCTGGGGCCCTGATCCTCCTCAAGGAGCTGTGAGACATTCATGATTTCTAGGTGAGGGAGAATAATAGTCTTCATTGCTACTGGAGGCACTAGTCAAACTTAGTGGGCCACAACATACATATGCACACATGCACACATAATACACACATACATAAAGAGACTTGTTGGAAGGGGTGTTGGATGTCAAGGGGAGAATATAGAGGTGGAGTATGTCAGAACATGGTCCAAGAGTGGAGTCATGTGAGATTTCTCAGTACTTGTGAGAGAATTCCAAGTAAATAAGACAAGAGTCTTGAGACCTCAGTTTCTTCAAAAACATGGAACTGTTCTTGAAATGTACTTTTGTGCCCCTCCCAGGTATAGTGAATAGAAATGAGTGTACTTTAATTAATCTTTACAACTGCTATTGTTATTTGTTCATATGTCTCTATGGAAAAAACATGGGTATTTTTTTGCCATGTGCAACTTGTTTGTATGATTATATACATCTTGAACTCATGAGAACTTTATACAAATGACCTTTCTTAATCATTAGGCTGCAGATTATCAGTTCTGAATAAAGTTGGCTATTGACGAAGACTTCAGTCTGCCTCATTTACTGACCTCATTGTCCACTGTCCCACTACATCTAGAGAAGTAAATAAGTGGTTTCTTGAATCAGGGACCTGAAGTCAGCTATGTAGTAAGAAAGACGTCCCTCACAGGAGTTGAGTGAGAATGTGGCATAAACCATGGAAGAATTTGCCCTATTTTGAGATTGTGCATGAGTTTTAAAAGAAAGTAGGAATACAAGTGTCAAAATCACAACTATCAAATTGCTTGCAGGTTGTTTGTGATTATAATCCCTGGTTTTCAGAAGATGAAAATTTAGATGAAAAGATATGGGGACAGAATTTAAAGGGATATTGAAAAGGGATATTGAATAAGGGAGAAAGATTCTTGTTCAATTTTGAGTCCCTTGGACATTAATTTGGACCATCATCAAAATGCTTAAGAAAGATGAGTATATTAATCATGAGGAAGAACTCTATAATTATTTAAATAAATATATACTAAATGATCAACCCTTAAAATTGGTAAAAAGAGGTCAATAACTATTTTCCCAGTCCAGGTAACAATGAAAGTAAAAACAGTGCCACCCATAACTATTCAGGTAAAAAATATGCTAGCTTCATTATTGGAGCCTCCTTTAAATACATGTCCTCCATTGCCTGAAGATGATCCTGAAGCATGGGATGAGGAATTTGGCATTCACTCTCATCTTGAATTCTCTCTACATTTTGATGAGGAGTTAGTAGTGCCTATGAAAAAGCTAACTTTACAACCTAGGCAAGCTAATTCCCAGCATGGAACATGAATGCATTGGGCATTCCACACCAGATTCATGAGCTGTGCTTCTTTTTATCCAACGAGCTAACCAATCTATTTAAAACTCTAAAATGAAAGATGGTGTTGGATAGTACTTGTTATTATCTTGAGAGGTAAGAAAAGATCTACAGCTATTTGAATCCAGACTAAAAGAGGCATTTCGGTATCATGTGGACCCTTCACTTCCTTTAAATTTACTTATTTTCCCCACTAACTTTTCTCCTAGACTTATTATAGCACAATAGGATAAACCCTTGAAATGGAATTATTTACAAAACAGAGGACAGAAAATACTGTCTATTTACTCTCCTCGCTCAATTTGTAAATTGAGAGATCACAAGACGTCAAAAATTATATGAATTTTGATCCCTGCTGTATTATATTACTTTTAACTAACAATCGGTTTTTAAGAGCATTACAGAACTCTATGGATTTTCAAACTTCATTTACAGATTACTATGGAAGGATAGGAAATCATAATTCAGCTGGCAAGCTATTGGATTTTCTCATATGAACTGAATTTGTGATTACAAAAAATTGTCCACCCTTATCCTATTTCACAGGCAGATCCTTATTTTGTTGATGGCTTATTTAGGTAAGAGTAAAGGAGAGATTCCTGGTCCTATACTCATCAATATATTAATACTTCATTTTCCTCAGCACAACAGGTGGAACTGTCTCTTTCGGTTCATTTATCACAGTTAATTCATGAACCCTTAAATATCATTTTAGATCCTACTTAAGCTGTAGGATAGTTTCCATCAATAGAGAGTAATTTCATTTTGTCTTCACATTCTGCTATCCTTCCATAACTACAAGAACTACAACA